GAGACCCTCTCAAAAAAAAAAAAAAAAAGTGGAGAGGAGAAGGGGAGGGAAGAAGAAGGGGAAGAGGAGGGGGAAGGAAAAGGGAAAAAGAAGAAATTGATATATAGACCTCCTCACAAATAAAATTCCAGGCACATGGTTTCACTAGTGAATTGTGTCAAATAGCTCAGGAAAAAACAGTCCTGATATTATATAAACTGTCAAAAAAAATAAAGAAAACATTTCCAGCTTGATTTATGAGACTAGGATGATCCCAACACCAAAGCCACATAAAGATATTACAAATAAAGAAAATTATATTATCCTTCAATAATATACATGCAAAATTTCTTAACAAAATAGTATTAGCCTCAGCACTTTGAGAGGCCAAGGCAGATCACTTGAGCTTGGGGGTTCAAGACCAGCCTGGGCATCACAGACGAGCCTGGGAATCAAGTATTATTATTAAAATTATTAAAATAATAATACATCATGACAAAGTAGGGTTTGTTCCAGTAATGCAAGATTGGTTTGACATCTGAAAATCAAGGTAATTCACCATGACAGAATAAAGGAGAAAAACAATGTAAGGCCAAAGATACAGAAGAAGGCCAGGCGCAGTGGCTCACCCCTGTTATCCCAGCACTTTGGGAAGCCAAGGCAGGTGGACCATTTGAGATCAGGAGTTTCAGACCAGCCTGGCCAACATGATGAAATCCCGCTTCTACTAAAAATACAAAAATTAGCTAGGTGTATTGGCACACACCTGTAGACCCAGCTATTCAGGAGGCTGAGGCAGGAGAACTGCTTCAACCCGGAAGAAGGAGGTTGCAGTGAGCCAAGATCATGTCACTGCACTCTAGCCTGGGCAGCAGAGTGAGACTCTGTCTCCAAAAAAAAAAAAAAAAAAAAAAAAAAAAGGCAGAAAAAGCAAGGATAAAATGCAACATATGTCTTGACAAAAACTCTCAAAAAAGTAAAAAGAGAAGTGATTTTTCCCTAACGTGATTAAGATCACATACAAAAATATCTAGAACATCATACTTAATTTTGAAATACTGAACTCCTTTCTCCCTAAGGTCTGGTAGAAGGCAAGGATGTTCTTTTTAACCACTTCTGTTCAACACTGTATTGGTGGTCCTAGCCTTTGCACTAAGGCAAAGAAAGAAAAGAAAAAAAAAAAAAAAGAAAGGACAGAAAGATAGAAAGGAAAAATAGCCTCTACTTGCAGATGACGAATTATTGGTTATAGAAAATCCTAAGGAATCTACAAAGCAGCAAACTAGTAAGTGAATTTAGCAAGGTCACAGGATTCAAGTTTAATTTTAAAAATCAGTTGCATTATTTTATATAGTAGCAACAACAAATTGAAAAAATAAAGTTTTAAAAATTCCATTTGCAGCCAGGCACAGTGGCTCATGCCTGTAATCCCAACACTTTGGGAGGCCAAGGTGGGTAGATCACAAGATCAAGAGATCAAGACTATCCTGGCTAACATGGTGAAACCCTGTCTCTACTAAAAATACAAAAAATTAGCAGGGCATGGTAGCACGTGCCTGTAGTCCCAGCTACTAGGGAGGCTGAGGCAGGAGAATAGTTTGAACCAGGGAGGCAGACATTGCAGTGAGCCAAGATCGCACCACTGCACTCCAGCCTGGGTGACAGAGCTGGACACCATCTCAAAAAACAAAAACAAAAAAAAAAACCCTTCCATTTGCAGTAGCACCCAAAAAAGAAAATCTTAATAATATTATGCATAAAATCTCTATGCTAAAAACTAAAAAATCCTGGTAAGAGAAGTTTTTAAAACTTAAATAAAATCATATACAATGTTCATGGATTGGAAGGTTCAATGTTGTTAAGAATCAAGTCTCTCCTAAATTAATCTATAGGTTGAATGCAATCACAATGAAAATTTCATCAAGCCATTTTTGTAGACATTGACAAACTAATTCTAAAATTCATATAGAAATACAAAGATCACAGAATATTCAAAACAACTTTAAAAAAAAGAATAATGATAGAAGGCTAACAGTATCTGATTTCAAGATTACAAAGGTACAGCAATTAAGAGGGTATGGTAGTGGCCTCAAAAATAGACAAATAGACCAATGAAACAGGACAGACTCTAGAAATCAACACAAAGACAACTAATTTTTAAAAAGACATCACAGTGCATAAATGATAGTCTTTCAATAAGTGGTGCTGGAACAATGGGATATGCATGCAGAAAAAAAACTCAATGCATACCTCATACCATACAAAAAAATTATTTAAGATATGTCGATTAAAACATAAAAGCCAAACTTACAAACTTGGAGAAGGAAACCTAGGAGAATATCATAATTGGGGGTATGCAAAAGTTTTTCTCAATAATCATAGGAAAAAACAGGCAAATTAAAATTTTCTCCCATAAAAATACACAGAATATGTAAATTTTCTCTCAATAAAGCTGTTATAGGAAGAAAGAGAGGGAGGAGGGAAAAAGGAAGAGAATGCATATATAGGCAAGGCACAGGGGAGGAAAAAACCTGCAAAACATAAATCTGACATGAATCCAAGATTTCTGAAACTCTTACAACTAAATAATTAAAAGACCAACAATCAATAAAATACGCAAATAAGTTGAACAGATGTCACAAAACATGATATATAAATGCTCAGTAAATTTGTGCTAAATGATTAATCATCAGTGAAAAGCCAGTTAAAACTCACAATAAGATGTCACTACATAACCATCAGAATGGCTAAAATGTGGTTTAACCTTAACTCCCACACACCAATGGTGAGAGTATAAAATGTTTCAACAAGCTTTGAAAGAAAAGTTGGCACTTTCTTACAGAATTAAACAAACACCTACCCTCTGAAGAGTCAATTTCAATGTTAGGTATTGCCAAAAACTGGAAACAGCCCAGGTATCCGTCAGCAAGGGGATGGATAAATTGTGGCGTATTCACACAAAGATTCATCAGAAAAAAGGAAAAGCAAACAACTGATATACATGACATCATAAATTGCAAAAACATTATGCTATGAAGAAAGCCTTACACAAAAGTCTATGTTTTATTATTCCTACATGAAATTCTAGAACAGGGAAAAAAATGCTCATCTATAGTGGAAATAAAACAGTATGGACAGCAGGGGAAGCAAAGCAAGGAGTGACATGGGAAGGGGCTTCAATGAATTCTGCCATCACCCCCAGAACATTCTGTAATCTTGAAAGGAGTTTGATTTATACATGTTTGCATCTGTCAAAACTTGCCCAATAATCTGTGCATTCATACACACACACACACACACACACACACACACACATTTATTTATTTATCACAAAAGGAAAAAAATAAGCATTACTGAACCCTAGGTAATGATATAAATACTGACATACTTAGGCAATAGTGTGCTGATGACTACAACTTACTTTTTACTTAGAAATGCATCTAAATAAATAAAAAGATTACAGTCAGCCCTCGGTATTCTGGGAGGAATTGGCTGCAGACTCTCACAGATACTAAAATCTGCAAATACTCAAGTCCCTTATAAAAAATGGCATAGTATTTTCATATAACCTATACATATCCTCTGGTATACTTTAAATCTCTAGACTACTTATAATACCTAATACAATGTAAACAACTGTTATACTGCATTGTATTTTTACGTGTATTATTGTGGCATTGTTACTTAATATTTTTGATCCATGAATATGAAACCCATAGAGAGCCAAATGTATATAGAGAAGGATGGAGAGACACATGTGTGATAAAGCAAATAATAGTAAAATGTTCATATTAATAGAAGGCTCTAGATTGTGAGTATACATATGTTAATGGAAAAATTCAACCATTCCGTATTCTTGAAATTTTTCATAATAAAATGTTAAGGGGAAAATTAACCATGTGTGCACTCCTCATGCAGCTTTATCTAATAAAAGAACTAATTATGCACACACTTCTTGATTGGGGAAAAGAGAGGCCTGTTTTATTTCTCCATATTCATTCAAGCCAGAACTCTATGAATTTCAAATCAAATGGGTTGAGAAACAACATATAGATGAAAATAAAATTTGGTAGATGCTGTGGTGACTAATCTCCTCTTACCGCTCAACACACACACACACAGCACTAAGGTTTAAACACAGAGTCCATAATCACCATTTCAACTAATACCTGTTAAAAAGTGCCTTGAAATAAAACATAAATAAATATAATATTCAGGTATATGAGATTAGTCAAACTAAATCAATTATGAACTGCTGCTTCTTATGCTTAAATATAACCACTTGAGGAAAGCCTGGTTTTACTATCATCCTAAGGAAACCCTTAATTTTCCAAGACTCTTTCTTGGACATTTGTGGTTGCAGACCAGATATTTATAGTTTGGCAAATACTTACAACATTTACCAGCTGCCAACTCCTGCCTACAACTACTTTATAAGTTATAAAATTCTGTCCTGAAAAACAGCCTGTCCACTACAGCTGGGGAAACGTATTTATTTCTCTTGCTCTTTCCACATCTAGTTCCTCGACACAGATCAGGAATTCAGCCCCTAAACATGACATACCAGATCACCCCTGGCATAAATTTGCTATATCAAATGAAATTCAAAATACTTTCGTTTCAAGGACTACACTAACTATAACTACCATATAACAAAAATGCCACAAAAATACTAGACTAGCTATAACTACCATATATTAAAAATACAATATAACAAAAAACCTTGTCATAAATTTGCTATACCAAACAAAGTTCAAAATACTTTAGTTCCAAGGATTAGACTAGCTATAACTATCATATAACAAAAATGCCATAAGAGATGGCACATAGGAAACCTTCCACACACACAGACTAAAGAAGTCTAGCTGCCCCAAAAAGCAAACAATTTCTTAGGAGTTTCACAGTTTACATTAAAATTGATGAGTATTTTATAATTCAGGCTGAGAGCGGTGGCTCACACCTGTAATTCCAGCACTCTGAGAGGCTGAGGTGGGCGAATCACGAGGTCAGGAGTTCTAAACCAGCCTGATCAACATGGTGAAATCCCATCTCTACTAAAAATACAAAAATTAGCCAGCCATGGTGGCGGGCACCTGTAATTCCAGCTATTCAGGAGGCTGAGGCAGGAGAATCACTTGAACCCGGGAGGCGGAGGTTGCAGTGAGCTGAGATCATGCCACCTGGGCAACAGAGCAACACTCCAACTAAAAAAATTTTTTTTAAATTAAAAAGAAAACTAAAATAATTCACCCCATTACACTGCCTATCTTAATATAATCTTCTCTCCAAAAATCTTTCAGTAGAACGACCTTCCAGGTAGATAGGCCACTTTTGTCATCTACAGTGTGCTCCATATGCTTGCACACAGCAGCCTGCGCCTGTGAGGGACTACGAGTACCCTACTATGAGAACCCAGAAGTACCAAAGTGTTTGTGACAAGTGGAAACCTGAATTTTAAGGTAAATACCAAAACTTCATGCATGCTTTGAGAAATGAAAGAATAAGTACAGAACGCAGTGTCACGCAGTTGACACTAGCAACAGAACAAATATGATGAAAGCTAAGAGTGATTTGGGAATCACTAGCATATGATGTTTTCTTCACACACTTTGGCAGTGTGTTCACAAAGTAATTTTAGCACAGGCATAATCAAAGAGAATTACTGGCCATAATCTGAAAAACAGCGGCCCACTTTTATTATTTGTCTTCGGCTAATTACGAACTACATGACATTCAAAAGATTCTGGAATTTCTTGTCCTGTGCTTTTACAAAAGGTTAAAAGAAGGTAGAATGGTAATTATTACATTTAAGCTGCTTGACTAGAAGAAGGTCTTAATGTTGTGCTCTTCTGATAATATCAATAAAGTGTAGTTATTAACAATCAACAGTTGCTTGCAAAGACAGCTGGAACCTGCTGAAGAAGTAACCAAACTAATGTGCCTTGAAAGTACACTTAGTATTCTTACATGGTTTTCAGCTATAAAAGTTCCCTTTTCAATCTGCCTTAGGAAGAAGGTGAAATGAGTGTGCCTGCCACAAACGTTGGCGTGAGGCTAGAAATTCAGAGATGATCTTGTCATCTTGAAAACCAATCACATTGCTTCTCTGGCACCCTGCTAGATTCAAAGGTAAGGACAAACTGTTCTTAAATGGTTGTGAAAGTGACAGGCACATACAATATATTTTAGTTCTAATTTGAGTGAGGATATCTTCAAACAGTGCACAAAGTCTCAGTTTTGGGGAAATTTCAATGAAATTACATCATTACAACAATCTATTAAATCCTATCATTCCCATTGGGGCAACAAACTCTCTTCTCTCCACTTGTTTAATCATGCTATTCCTGAATGTCAAGTAAGAAAATCTTTCCTTTCCTCTACCACCTTCTTAATTGTTACTGCTCAATTGTATCTCCCAGTTCACACCCAAGTAGTCTACTCAGACTTCCCTCTTCCAAAAACATCCCTCTAGGAGGGAGGTCTCCAAGCGCCACAGAACTGCAGGGATAATCCTATCACAGCAGGATCTTCACTCTATTACAATGATTTGTTTATCAGACAATACACTTCCCAGTGTTGAGAACTGTATCACCTCTACCTACAGTATTCATACTTGAAACATACTCAAGCATTTGATGAATGTCAAATTAGCAAATGTATCACAATACCCAGCAGGATCCATGGATAACCACCATTTTCATCTTTTTAAACTTTATTAGAGATCATTTTCAATGAAAATAATACACAATTCTGTACTTGAAGTTTCTCTTTATAGATATCTTAGCTATAAGCACAAAATACGTTATAGACACTTTGCTAAGAGCACAATCAATGAAGGTTAGAAACTACATATGCTGTAAACAAATACAGAATCAATATAATCGAGAAAAAAATAGGTATACAGAAAACACATACAGTATCAGAACTATTTAACTGTAGCTTGGGAGCAATTCAATCTTAAAACTACCAAATCAACCATGGCATGAAGAATCAAACTAAGTATTTAGATAAATTTTAATCAACTGAAATACGAAAGCTGAAGTTGATGTAATGCAATTTATCTGGGCAGAAATAACTAGTCACAGTTACTCCAATGCCTATCAAAATGAGGGGAGAATACTTTCAGCTGTCCACCAGAAAACCTAAGGCCAGTCTCCTAATCATGAAATGTGTTATGTCATGACAAATAGTTAAGTGCCCATAACAAGGGCAGGCACTACCCAGAACATTTTAAAATATGATGTTCGTACCCTTTAAGAATTTTTTATTCCCATGTGTTAAGATCTCTTCATTTGTAGCAGCTGACTATCAGCTGGCATAGGACCCAAATCATGATCCTACTGCTCCAAGTAACTCAAATACATCTCCAAGCAACAGCTGTGTAATCTTTATAGTATAGCTAAAAATATAAAGTTCAAAACATTAAATGAATTTCATCTAACATTTAGGAATATGACTGAAAAAGAATACAGTTAATTCATGCTAAAGGAGTAATTTAGCAGAAGGCAACATTCAAAATGATGAGTAATCCAATTCATAAAAAATAAAAATGTTATGGGCTGTATTTTAATTTTAGAAGTGTCCTCTTTTTTCCTCAGGATACGCAATGCCTGCAACTGTGCTTAAGCATTTTTTCTTATTATTATTTCCCTACTACTAAAGAGGACACCTTTTTGGTTAAAAATTTGTAAACTATAATTTTCTCAGCATCCTGACAAAATTCTACACTCTCCCACAACTTTTTGTTATTAAGAGAGACTCTTCTGAAGCTGGCTTATTTTTTTGTTCCTTGACTGAGCTCATAAGCCACTTAGCTGCAAAAAGCTCATGGTACGTTTTAATACTCTACCCTGGAAGTCCCATTACTAGTGAGAAACTCAACTATGTCTAACACAAAGTACTCTTCATTGAAAAACCCTATTTTCAGATATTTTCCCCCCTTAGTAATAACCAAGGACTTATATTTTACTTAGGGTAAGCCTGTCAGGCAAACCTCTTCTACCAGTCAGAACTAGCACTTAATCAGAAGAGTCAGGACCCGAGTTTAGCCCTCTCTGGTCGTCAATGTCCTGATCTCTAAAACAAAAGCGTTCCTGAAATTACACCGGTCTTATTACAAAACTAGGAGGACCACATATAACCACAGTGAAACTAAACAGCTTCGGATTAAGAAGGAGGAAGGGGGGAAAAAAACTGGCTTCCAAAGCACTCTGTTCAAAAAGTTTAACAATATTCCTCAAATAGCATCTTAAATTATGTAACGACAGTAAAAGACTAGAAATATTCTTCTCCAATTAAGCCTGAAAAGAGTGATTTAGCTGATATACATTGCTCTAAATCCACTGTAATAGTTTCTATGAAGTTTTAATTATTTATTCTAGAAATACACTTTGAAAACTTGACTTTACAGATAGCCACAAAATACAAACATCATAATCAGGTAATACAGGTACAACTTGAGCAGCGAAGGGTTAAAAATTACTGTTTATGTGCAGTTGGACAGGCTACTCCTTACGCACAGCTGCCATCTTAAGACTTCAACCTTTCTTTAAATGTTCAAATGAAAATTAAAACATCTGAGCAGCGGGATAAAAATGGCAAATAAATTGAACAAGTGGCCACAGCTGTTAGGTGTACTGTTTCTCTCATTCTGATGAGATCTAGGAGAGAAGACTTCTAAATCCCCTTCTCACCTCTCCCCTTCTTTTGCCCATACTTTTTTTTTTTTTTTTTTAATTTTTTTGAGACAGAGTCTCGCTTTGTCACCAGGCTGGAGTGCAGTGGCACAATCTCGGTTCACTGCAACCTCCGCCTCCTGGGTTCAAGCGATTCTCCTGCCTCAGCTTCCCGAGTAGTTGGGATTACAGGCGCGTGCTACCACGCCCAGATAATTTTTTTATTTTTAGTAGAGACAGGATTGCACCATGTTAGCCAGATCTCTTGAACTCATGATCCACCTGCCTCAGCCTCCCAAAGCGCTAGGATTGCAGGTGTGAGCCACCATGCCCAGCCTTGCCTATACTTTTTAAAAAGACAATATAAGTCTTTCAGTCAAATAATGAACATTAATCCTACATGTAGGACATATACCCAAAATAACCGATTATTTATGTTTTCATTCTGCCATGAACCAAGTATTCTACCCGTGGTAAAATATAATTTAAACATTAGCACCATATTAAATCATGAGGCTCAGTGTTTCATAATGGTAGTGCCTTGGAACAAGGTCAATACTGAAATAAAATATAACCCAAAGTGGGAGATGTTAGACAAAATAAACAGTCTACTCATCAAAAACATCTATGTTAAGAAGGACTGAGAAACTGTTCTATATCAAAATACACTAAAGAAGGCCGTTCGTGGTGGCTTACACCTGTAATCTCAACACCTGGAGAGGTCTAGGAGAGAGGATCTCTTGAGCCAGGAGTTCAAGACCAGCTTGGGTAACACAGAAAGACTCTGTTTCTACAAATTTAAAAATTAGCTGGGCATGGTGGTGCACACCTGTAGTCCAAGCTACTCAGAAGCTTCAGACAGGAGGGTCACTTGACCCCCAGGAGGTAGAGACTGCAGTGAGCCATGACTGTGCCACTGCACTACAGCCTGGGCAACAGAGCAAGAGTATCTCAAAAAAAGAAAAAAAGGACACTAAAGAAATGTGACAATGAAACCCAATGTGCCATCTGAATTGAATCTTGGACCAGAAAAAAAAGTTTTTTTTTTTCTTTTGCTACACTGAAACTGAACAAAATATTAATAGATAATCATAAGGCCTACTGAAGGTCCATTCTAAGATCATATTCTACTGATATAATCAGTATAAGTAGTATATCAACCTGTTTAACTTTTTATTTAAATCCTTACTTGCTAATCAATGACATTTTAAGAGTTTCTCTCTGCTTAACTTTTTTTTACAAATATTAATATTCTTTTCTAGTTCTATACTTCTATATTACCTCAATCCTCACAAAACCTCCATAAAGTCAGTATTCTTCACTTCTTTTTTAAGGTAAGGAGATAGTTAAGGTAAAGAACTG